ATTAAAATTTTAAGGTCTAAAATGACTTGTTTTGAAACTTTTTATATTAAGGGTATTTTAGGTAGTTATAAGGTTAAATAGTAAAAAGGGGTATTTTGAAAAGGGTACGGTTGAATTTGGGGTATTTTCAATAATTTCCCAAGAAAAAACAGCCTTACCTTAAGTCCAAGGATTATTAATGATACTAAAATATCTCAGTTTCTTTTTGGTTTTTATGTTAGTTCAGTGTGAAGCAGAAAGTATCTTCGCCCCACCCCTAAAAGTACCTGTGGACTCCACCGTTTGAAGTCTCCATTAGCCACAAGATTCAATGGGTGTCATTTTCATGTTCCTTTGTAGGTTGAACTATCTATACCCATCAACTCTTGACAACTCAATTCATATACCTAAGGTACAATACACGGGCCCTTGTGTACTAGTGTGGTGTTATTCATGTTCAACACGTATTGGATATTGATATTTTAGGACTCATCACATAACGTGTCCTGTTAAATTACCATTTAGGAATCACCATAATGTGTCCTCTATTATACATCTAGGGCCTGTCTGGAGGAAATTATTTCAATCAAAAAACAATTTTCCGACTGTTGAGCATCGCAGTTGTTGACTGAAAACCAATTCAGCTGTGTCCCACAACTGAATAGTCTCATTTGGCTATCATCTTGATTCCCCATTTGGTCCTCGCGTGACCGTTGAGCAGGCGTGAAGTGAGGATAAAATTGGGAAAATTGAAGTTAGGGCCTGGATTTTTTCTGCAACTAGTGTTAAATTAATTTAAAAGAAGACGGGCCATTTAAAAATCCAACGGTCCGAATTGTAATTTTCAGCAGCACCAGACAGGCCCCCTACTGTATAATAGAGGTGTACATTTTTCGACTTGGTCAGTTTCTGACCCATTTACGAATCACCATTTACATAGCAATATAAAAGTTAACACCTTTCAAAAAAGTTAAATCATGAATATTTTGGTCCTAAAATCTCAATCCAATCGTCAAATTCGAACTTTCTAAACATAAACGTTATAGTTACATTTTATAAACGTGTAACAATGTATACATGTTGAATTCGGATGTTGTACACATTATTTTATCATCCAAATTACAATGTGGTACCGACATTCAATTTAGGCATATCTTAATGGAGGTCTTCAATTCAAATGGCAGGGAACACGATATAAATTAGTGAGAAGTCAAGACGGACATGGACTCTTTGAAAATGGATATTATCTCAAAAAGAGGGATCCCAATCGTTACAAATAATGTTTAGTAAAAATGCAATGATTTATGATTTTGTTGTTCAAAATCGAAAAATTGACGTGTCCATGTGAATCCAAATCAACGATTTCCGAAAAAAATATTTTGATTTGATCTCGTGATTTCGCTGCTTTTTGTTCACCCCTACTAAATATGCATTTTTAGTTCTCTCGTAGTGGTAATATTTAATTTAAATTAAAGTTGTATGATTGTAACACAGAGAGCTACTCCAATTTAAAAGTTATAATCAACAAAAGTCAAAAGTCGAAAATCATATTGAAATTATAAGAAATAAAAAGTATAAACTAAAGGTACAACACATAAATTTACAATTTCAAAAGATTTTATCGATGTGGTCCAATGTGTTTGTCCTCCACTTTGAAAAGTAACATGTTAACATGTCATTGCGTTTGTCGTCCGCGTTTTTCGAAAAATAACATGTTAACGTGTATATATCGTGTATATATCGTGTCGTGTCTGTTTATTCGTTTGTACTTCTTGGTGCCTCAGTATTTAATATGAATCTGTCAAGCCATAAATTATACAACAGGTCTAAGTCCCTATTTGAGCCACATTAAAATTTTTAGGGTTATTGGCTCAAAACGTCCCTACCTTTGAAGGGTTGTGTGGAAAACATCCCAACGTTTGATTTTTTGGTGCGCAACGTCCCTACCTATCAAGTTTATTGTAGAAAACATCCCTACCAATCATTTTTTGGCACAAAACGTCCCTACCTTCTGCATTT